TGGAAAATCTAGGAAACGTTTTCAAGGAATTTCTTTGGAATTCTTTAAAAGTCTTCTATCTCTAGAAACCTTTTTTCTTGAAAACCTTTTAAAAAATTCCAACAAAGAACCATTTAAAGATCTTTTTGGGAATTTGACGTAAAAGAAAACTTTCTAGGCAATTTCTTAGAAATTTTCCGTTTCTGGTCTTTAAATTAGACACGTTTAGTGCAAGAACGGTACCAGGAGTAGTTTTTCTTGCGTTTTGCTCGGATCGCACCGAAATTGCCGCTCTTCTTCAATACTGGTGCGAGTTAGGACGATAGCTCTGGGGGGATACTGTTTCCTCTGATAAGTTATCACGAAAACGCAACGCCGATAACATTTAGGAAAATTTAAACAAACTGGAAGTACAACATCACGTGCAACATGCAAGATTAGACGAGCAAAAAAAGTAGTACCTTCTACGACTCTCTTGGCTGGAGTTCATCTCGGCAAAACTGTAAACATTCGTGATAATAATAGTAATAATAATAAAAAAAATTAAAATAACAGGAAGTCACGATTTGCGGTTTGAAAATAGTAAGTGATAGGACACTGACCATAATTTAAAATTACGTGCGGGCCACGTCATAATTTGTTTATGTGGAAGCAGGAAGAATTTAAGCTCTTTAATTTTTCGGGTTCCCAAATTCGTGTGGGCGTGGGAATCGTTCCTTCGGGCTTAATTTTCAACTAACACGAAGCGCATTCTTTTGTTTTAAACGAATGCAGGCCATGCCAGGTGCCTCGCTCGTTTCGCCGTTTTACCTCGTCAAGTAAACACGGCGACCATATGTCACCTCGAAGCCCGAACCGGAATAAAAACAAAAAAAACAGGAGGGGGCCACGACAACACAAAGATTGGCAATTTTCTTAATATAAACAGAATTTATTGCATCAACAGAGAAAGGAGACCGTGGGATTTTTACCCTTAGCGATAACGTCGTAGGGGTGAGAATGTAATTCAGCCACAACGAGGAGTTCAACACACCCATAGTTTTACGCAATCGATAAAAGTAACGAAATTATCTTAAAACGTGTCAGAATGTCATCCTATCTACCTGAGATTAGGCGAATGCCCCCCCGATTCGAGATAAAAAAACGTTTAAAAATCGGCCGACTGCAAAAAGCCTCACCACCCCCCCGAAAACAACTAATTTTGCAAACCGCAAGAAACAAAAGCGCAAATTACTTATAAAATCAAGGTGCACTTGCCTCATCTTTCCGAAAAATCCCACTGGGCTTTACATCGATTTTTTTTCACTTTCTTATATTAAACATCGCACTCTCTCCCCGCGTACGCTTCGTAGCTGCTCTCGACCGTCGCCCTTCGACGATAATTCGCCTAATCTCTCGCCAAATTGCACTTAAATGTCACTTCGTTTATTACCAACACCTACAACTCGACACTACTGCCTTCGCCATGTTTACAAAGGTTAGACCAGCCCGAGATCTTGCGCCAATCGCGTAGCGAGTCGGGGCGCACGCGTTCGTTGGGAAAAAAATTCGAAAAACTTTTCGAGAAAAATCAAGTAGGCGCGCCGCTTTCGGACGGCAACTTTTATTGGCCTTGTTGATAATCGGCGGTCGAATGCCGGTCGGCCTTTGATAATTTCCGGCGAGCGGCGACGAATGTGCGATAATAATAAAATTGATAGGAATGTTGTTGCATTTTGTCACTAATTCGTTTAAACGAATACTGCGCGTGGTCTTAGGCTTAGGGGAAAGTTTATTCAAAATTGAATAGTTCAGGACCGGATTGTGGTATGGGTCGACGTAAATCTCAATTGGGCGCGGGTGGGGAGAGGGGGGAGTAATTGTAATAAAACGTAAAGAAAAAAAAGATGTGTTGGCATCAACAGCCTCCTCTTTCTTCTGCTTTCCTTGTAGTACCCTGTTTCCATTCCTCTAGTTGTATTCGCTCCCACTATTTTTCTTTTTTCCTCTATTTATCATCTTCCACCTTCTCTGTCTTTATAGTTCCCTGATTTCCTCTTCGTATTCATTCAATTTCTTCATCATTTTTGCGCTTTTTTCTGTTCTCTCACCCCTTTCTTCTCTATTTCCCCTCTTTCCTTGTCCATCATTTCTCTATATCTGTTTCTTCTTCTGTATTACTCTATGACCCACCATTTCTTTCTTTCTTTTCTTTCGACGTTATTTCTTTTTTAATAATCCATGACGCTGCTCCTCTTTGTCGACAACTCCACAGTCTCTCGTATTCATAACCGTCTCCCTTTTTTGCACCTTTCCCTTTCTTGACCTTCTCATCATTTAAGCTCATTTCGTTCATTCCTTCACTGTTTTATATAGTTTATACTCTCATTTTCTTCCCCACCACTTACAGTTTTCTTTCCCGTATTCGTTCCTCCTCTTTCATTTCCTCCATTTATCTTTTTTCATATCCTCTTACGACTCCCACAGTTGAGCATCTTTACTTGCTCCCCCCGCCACATTCCAGAACATCAACTTCACTTCTCCTTTTGTTCGTTTCGGACTAGCTCCTCTCTTTTGCTATTAATTTTTCCGTCCAAACCCCTCCCCCTCCTCTTCCGTTCCTACTAGCTCTTCTTCTTTGTTACTCCATCTCTATTCTTCGTCTTCTATCATTAATTTCCTATATCCCAATCTTACTTTTTTGATCTCATGATCATCTATGTTTGTCCTTTCACTTTCCCTTGCCCCTCATAATTTTTTACTCTTCTTTCCCCATGTTTTCCCCCACTTCAATTGTTTCTTCGTGCTTTCTCTCCCTTTTCCTTTTTTCATCTTTACTCCTTTTAACTTGTTCCTGCTATTTTGCTATCCTTTGCACCAATTCTTCTATTTCCTTACCCCATTATACTCTTTATTTCCTCTCTTCATCCGATTTCTTCCCAGATCGTTTCCTTCACTTGATCTACTTGATTTTTTTCTTATTTCCCCCTTTGCTCCTATGTTTTCCGTTCTCTCACCGCACTCACCCCACCCCCCTATCTATTTCATTGCCGCTCGCTCTCTCTCGCTTCGCTTCCTTTCTTTTCAACCTCTGAATCCTGACTTGCCCGCTTCGGCAGCTCGGAGACAGTGGACCCTCCCGCCCTGGTCACTAGTTAGCACGCAATAAAGGAAATTACATAAAAATGGTTAAAGCATAACCAAAATACTCTTTGGCATAACCTACCCCCGCTCACGTGTAAGTACTGTTGCCAAATATCCGTCTATGTTTCCACGTTATTGCTTTGTTAATACTCTTCTTCACAATATTCCACTCCTCCTGAGTACTCCTCCTTTTTTTGTACCCCACAGTGTCTCTTATCCATAACTGTATCTCCCTTCTTCTTTGCCTCTTCCACATTTCCAAATTCTTCTATTTCTTCCAGAATTTGTTCATTTAGTAAATCAACTACCGATCTCCCTCTTCCACCCATGTATGTGAAGTGCCCTCCATATTTTCGTTTCGAATTCTCCATCCCCTTTCTTTATTGCCCTCTCTCTTCACTTTCTATTGTGTGCTTTTCTTCTCTTCTGTACAAGCCCTTCTCCTTTATTCCCTGTTCAGACAAAATTTTAATCTCCCCCCCCCCCCCCCCGCCGCGCCCATTACTAACCCACAAATGAAGCAACTTAACATTGACCCCCCCCCCCCCCCCCCCTTATAAGGAAGACCTAAAGAAGGCGGGTGAAGAAAGATTGAGGCTTTGGGAGATGTGAAAAAGGCGTAAAGGAGACTTAGAGGAAGGATGGCGTGAAGAAAGTGTAATGGATACGCGAAGAAAACGTACGGGAAAAATAAATAGAGGGAGGCGTGGCGCGGAAACAAAGATGATGTAAAAAAAAGAAGTGTGAGAAGCAATTTAAAGAGAGTGAAGACTCTTACGGATTTGAAGAATACGAAGAAACTGAAGAATTTGAAGACCAGATGGGTCTGAATTCGAAGCTACTTGGCAGTTCGAAGAGTTTCTAAAAGTTTGGCAGATTCGAAGACTATGAAAACATAGGAAGCAACGAAAGAATTCGAAAAGGTTGAAGAAAAGTCAAAGAATCCATCAAAAGAATCTAAAACTTTGAAGAATTGAAATAATATGGAAGTATTGAATGAGTTCGAGAGGTTCCACCCTGTATCTACAACTTACGACGATGCAAACATTTTTGAGAGTTGGCAACCATGAAATTTCTAGGTGGAGAAAAGCTGCCTGCGCCATCTAGAAAGTACGAACGGGAGTTACGTTGGGCATCTTGTCTTGAATGGCGGTCGTGAACGCGTTGCTCCATAAATGTTTGTTGTTATTTAATGCTGGTAGTAATTTTTGCGTTTCTTTATATCGTATTTGTGTTTCGTATGCCGCATTTTATATTTTTTGTGTGTTTGAATCTTTGTTTTTGAAATTTACTTGATTTAACCGCAATGTAGAATTACATGTTTAATACAGTTATCCTATTGTTTGTAATCGTTTCCGTTTTTGGTGTAATGCTTGATTAATTTACTATTGACATTTGACATTTCAACTGTAGGCTCGAAACCACCGAAACCAGGGGCGGGTTAGCCTATTTGCAGGAGATGTTAAAAAAGAAAGCGGGTAGCTGACATGAAGAAGACTGACCATCAGAAGAAGATTGACGGATGTGTAGGAAGTATGAAGTTGGAATAAAAGAAACCTAAATATGAGTGAGGGCTAAAGGAGGGGTAGGGAATCTCAAGAGAGCATGAGGGACACGGAGGTGGTGAAGGAGAAGAAACGTGAGGGATACTTGAACTGAGCTCCTTCTTGATGAATGATAATTTCCCATATGGTAAGGGGGATGAGGCACCCTTAAACACAGAACATGACGTGACGCCACTGAAAGTCTTAGAGAATCATGAATGTTGGTCATCCTGAAATGTGATACTCGCGTTTTCAAATTCTTCAAGCAACACAAAAAGTAATTGTGGAATTGTGCGAAAATGTCATCTGTCACAATTTGTGGATTTGTTAAAATTGAGCCAAAACGAGAGGAAAATGAAGAAACTGCAACCCCTAACGAGGAGGTTCCGACAACTTTCAAGGCTGAGGATAGTGAGACTGCAACTGGCATCAAAAGTGATCGCGAAATTAAAAGTGAACCGCAGGAAGACGAGTGCACCTCATATTTCATTAATCCGCCTCTTCTGTTGTATGATGAATGTATGGAAGACAAAAGTAATGTCCTTAACGTACGAGTAAGTGAGTTTTCTTCAGACCATGATACTTCGAGACAATTATTTAGATGCACATCACTAAGTTGTGACACTGATTTCCATTGTTTCCAATGTGACTACGTGTCAAGTATCAAAAAGAATCTCAGAAAGCACATCTTAGGGCACAGAAATTTAAAATGTGACCATTGCAATTATGTAACGAACGATAAGGGTAATTTGAGACAGCACATTAGGAGACACAATGGTAAAAAGGAGTACAGATGTTCCTTTTGCAGTTATGCCACAAATGCCAAACACTCCTACAGTAGACACTTCTTAAAACATAATGTTCTGAAAGCAGTAAAGTGTGACCAGTGCTCTTATGCCACACATTCAAAGGGCCACTTAAAGCAACACTTACTAATTCACTGCAACGAGAAGAAATTTAAATGTGACCAGTGCACTTTCGAAACTCACGTTAAAAAGTACCTGAAACGACACACCCTCAATCACAAACCAACCACAGACTTTAAATGCTCGTACTGTCCCTACACCACAAATTTTAAAAGAAATCTCAAAAAGCACATTTTAAGGCACATAACTCCCAGAAATTTAAAATGTGACCATTGCAATTATGTAACAAATGACAAAGATAATTTAAAACATCACATCAGGACACACAATGACAAAAAAGATTACAATTGCTCCATTTGCAGTTACGCCACAAACGCCAGAAACTCCTACACTCGACATCTCCAAAAACACACCGCCGTCAAAGACATAAAATGTGACCAGTGCGCTTACGCCACACATTCGAAGGGCAACCTGAACCAACACCTACGAACTCACCAAAACGAGAAGAAATTTAAATGTGGCCAGTGCACGTTCGAAACTCACGTCGAGACCTACCTGAAACGACACGCCCTGAATCACAAACCGACCACGGACTTTAAATGCTCGTACTGTCCGTACGCCACAAACGTAAAGGTCAACTTCAACAAGCACCTCTCGAAGCATACAAGGGAGAGCTTAAGGTGCGAGCAGTGCGACTACGTGACGAGAGATCGCGAAAATCTGAGGCGACATTTGCTGAAACATGTCGAGTTGAAGGACTTCAAGTGCAAGTTTGAACGTACAACTCGAAGTACTTGACTTGACAAAAACTCGAGTGAGTGACCAGTAATTAAAGGACGTTAAAACTACATCAATAAATTAACATTTGTGAATTTTATATGCAGTAATTAAAGGACGTTAAAACTACATCAATAAATTGCTTCATTTGTGAATTTTATATGCATAGAATGGTGTAATAGGGTACGCTAGTTGTAAATAACGCTATGACCTGAAGCACAGTAGGGAAGGAACGTAAAATAAAACACTCGAATTATGAAAAGTTTGTTTATTAATAATCGTAATTATTATGATTGTAAATGCTCGGAAATTTAAGTCGAAATAAATTACATTGCAAAAATAAACTTTGAAAATGGTAGTTCACCGAATAAAAATAGAAATAGGCTGGGAAAAAAGGAACTTACCAATAAAAAAACCAGCCGTCAAATTAATATCAAATTGTGTTGTAAAATTAATTGTTTGTAATGATGTGAATGCGTAACATATAATTATAACATCACTAAAAGTAGCATGTAGACTTCAAGAGGTAACATTTAGGTTAAAAACAAGTTTTGGGGACTGTGGGTCAGGTAAGCAGGTACCAAGATTCTAAGAAAGAGTGAAATACACAGGATGTGACTCATGTTTGGTTCAATAAAGTCCTTTTGTTAAAAACAAGAAGGAAAATTACATGACCTTGTAGGCAAATTTAACTAAAAACAAGATATGTGGCTCATTCATCGCACATAGATTCTAAACTGAAGAGCTTTGATTAGCGTAATCCTGCTCCTGCAAGATAGGTAACCCGCCCTTGGTTTCGAGCCTACAGTTGAATGTCGAAGACAGTCACGGAATTAAGTGTTGCACTTTAAATGTTTACAGTTTTTACCACAACCGTGACTGTTTCATTCACGGAGAAAAATGTAAGTAACAAACAACAAGTCAGTACATACATCAAACGAATCGGTAATTTCCACATATTAAAATAAAGTGATCAAAACTTATATGAATGCTATTTCAGGGACAAGACCAAGTAATCAACATCAATAAACATAAATTAAGCAAACATTACACCAAAAACGTAAACGATTACAAACAATAGGATAATGGTATTAAACATGTCATTCTGCATTGTGGTTAAACCAAGTAAATTTCAAAAACAAAGATTGAAACACAAAAAATATAAAATGCGGCATACAAAACACAAATACGATATAAAAAAATGCAAAAATTACTACCTGCATTAAATAACAACAAACATTTATGGAGCGACGCGTTCACGACCCCCATTCAAGACAAGATGCCCAAACGCAACCCCGTCCATGCTTTCTAGATGGCGCAGACAGCTTTTCCCCACCTAGAAATTGCATGGTTGCCAACTCCCAAAAATGTATGTATCGTCGTAAGTTGTATATACAAGGTGGAACCTGTCAACCAGAAAACTATTTTTGGCTGCGACTTCCTAGAAGACGCCGGAGTCGCGCTACACGCAACCCAGAAGTACTGCTATTTTTATGATGATCCGAATGTCACCTTTCAGTACTTCGACGAAGAAGGGGACAAGGACACTGAGGTATCTGAAGTGAGTTTGCAGTAATGAGAGTGCCAAAATCTGGAATTCAGTCGACGAAGAGGCCTCTTTCGAGAAGAAGGCGAACCGACCCCACTACACCCTATAGAACTTTTCGATTTTCGAGGATGCCTTTCGTGCTGCAGAATACCCCGGCGACGTTTGTTCAAAGGGCTGCAACTTTTGATCTAGTAGTCCAATCTTGGAACTGTTTGAAATTATGGATTCTACAGGCCAAACTCTATAAGAAAATGTTTTTTCCCGGTCGATCTCAGACAATTTTTTTTTCGGGGCTCAAAAAAAGGCAGTGTATAACCTTCCTTTTTTACCAAAAATCGACTACACCAAAATTTCTCGGGAAAACACTTTTCTTATTAATTTGGGTGCGTAGAATCCAAATCAATTTGTACTTTTTCGATTAGACTTCTCAATCAAAAGTTATAGACTAGAAACCAATTTCAAAAAAAAATTCAAAGGGCTGTAACTTTTGAACTAGTAGCCCAATCTTGGAACCGTTTGAAATTATGGATTCTACAGGCCACCATTGACTAAAAAGCAATGACTGATGGCAATACGTCCAGTGGATGAACGTGCGCCACTGATCAAGAAATACGAGTCACTTGACACTTCATTTTTTGCACACACAGTTCGTACCTCGTGGCACAACTCATTCTTTCTGCTGTACGTAACTTGAAATCATCACCACAGGAGCCCTAAAAGTAAAAGTGATTGTGGAATAATCAAAATGTCAATTGTCACAATCTGTGGATTTGTTAAAGATGAGCCAAGAGAAGAAGAAGAAGAAATAAGTGCAACCCTTAACGAAGAGGTTTTAATAAACCATGACGTATCGATAAGAGTCAAGATTGAGGATAATGAAACTGCAACTTCCAGACAGTTATTTAAATGTGCAACACTAAGTTGTGCCACTGATTTCCTGTGTTTTCAATGTGAATACGTGACAAGTATCAAAAGCAATCTCAGAAAGCACATCATCTTAAGGCACATAACTCCAAGAAAGCTAAAATGTGACCATTGCAAGTATGTGACAAACAATAAGAAAAATTACACGTGTTCCATGCGCAATCACTTCACAAATGCCAAACACCCCTTAAAACACAATGCTCTGAAAGACTTAAAATGTGTCCAGGGCGCTTATGCCACACATTCAAAGGGCCACTTAAAGCAACACTCACTAACTCACCGAAACGAGAAGAAATTTAAATGTGATCAGTGCACATTCGAAACTCACCTAAAAATGTATCTGAAAAAACACACCCTCAATCACAATTTAACTACAGACTACAAATGTGCTTATTGTGCCTATGCCACAAAGATAAAAAAAAATCTTATAAAGCACATCAAAAGGCACATAACACCGAGAAGCTTAAAATGTGACCATTGCAATTACGTAACGAACGATAAGGACAATTTAAGACACCATGTTAGGACGCACAACGATAAAAAAGATTACACATGCTCCATTTGCCATTATGCCACAAACGCCAGACACTCCTACATTCGACATCTCCTAAAGCACAACGCTCCGAAAGACTTAAAATGTGTCCAGTGCGCTTATGTCACGCATTCGAAGGACGTCTTAAACCAACACTTAAGAACTCATCAAAATGAGAAAAAATTTAAATGTGACCAGTGCGCGTTCAAAACTCACGTTGAAATATACCTGAAACGGCACGCCCTCAATCACAAATCGACCACGGACTTTAAATGCTCGTACTGTCCCTATGCCACAAACGTGAAAAAGAACTTCAAGAAGCACCTCTTGAAACATACAGGGGAGAGCTTACTGTGCGAGCACTGCGACTACACGACGACCATTCGCGAAAACCTGAAGACACACTTGCTGAAGCACAGAACGTTGAAGAATTTCGAGTGCGCGTATTGCAAGTTTCGAACCTATGCCTCGAAGTACCTGAGGCGGCATCTCTCAACGCACAGGAACTCGAGGGAGTTTCAGTGTTTCGTCGCAATTACGAGACTTTTTTAAGTCACCGAATGTCTGCTTCATTTGTGAACAGTATAAAGAATTAATAATACGCATGGAATGTTCTAGCTATCTATTTTGTCTAAGTTTTGATATTTGATTTGCATATTAAACAATTTAAAAATGTTTTGTTTTTAGAAAGATCGCCCTTGTTTCTTATCCCTTATGATGAATCGTATACATAGATTCCAAACCGAAGAGTTTTTATTGGCAGAATCTCGCCCCCAAGACAGATAACTCGCCCCTTGTTCCGCGTTTCGAACCTACAGTTAATTGTCGAGATCAGTACCGGTATTTGAGTGTCGTAACTCTGGTTACAGTTTTTGTCAGTCCCCTGACCGTTTCTTCAAGGCGAAAATGTTAGTTTACAAACAATTCTTTAAAAGATTGAACAAAATATGCATCCAAGTTGGGGCCAAGAAAGACCATGTAATCGAAACATGAACAAACATTACACCAAAAATGAACGTGATTTCAAACAAAAGATTAACGGTATCAAACACATGAATTAACATTAAATTGTCAACTTCAAAATCAAAGATTGCAACTTAAAAAAAATATACAGCTACATAAAAATTGCATGGTTGCAAGCTCTCAAAAATATGTGCATCGTCGTAGAGTGGAACCTCTCAGTAGTTGCGATTGACTAATATACTTAGATGATAAAGTTATCACGCGAACTATTTCAACCAATCACAAGGTCTCTAAACCCAGAATCATAAAAGCACCGTTAGAGGCATAGCGACACAGGTACTCTGCATGTTTACAGGTTACGGCGAAGGTTTTTCAATTTTATCACTACTACCGCACATCGTTTTAGTTTTTCTATCTTACTATTAAATCCGTTTTTTTTTTCGCGCAACTGTCTTATCTATGACACTGTGTGTGAAATAGTAGTATAAGGAGGTTTGAAGCAAATATGGTGGTGTGAAAATGGGGGATTGAGATTGAGGGGGGGGGGGGTTAGAGAAGTTTGCGAAATTTTAGAATGGCGGACCCAATATGGCGTCGTATTATGCGAGAAATTTGAATTTTTAAAGAAACCATTTGCAAATTCGTAGCCAGAAAGGTTTCAGAGCCGCCGATTACAAATCCGCTGTCAGAATGACGAAATACAAAATGGCGGACCCAATATGGCGTCGTATTGTGCGAGAAATTTGAAATGTTAAAGAAATCATTTGCAAATTTCGTAGCCAGAGAGAATTCAGAGTCGCCGATTACAAATCCGCTGTCAGAATTACGAAATGCAAAATGGCGGACCCAATATGGCGTCGTATTGTGCGAGAAATTTGAATTTTTAAAGAAATCATTTGCAAATTTCGTAGCCAGAGAGATTTCAGGGTCGTCGATTACAAATCCGCTGTCAAAATTACGAAATTCAATATGGCGTCGTATTGTGCGAGAAATTTGAATTTTTAAAGAAATCATTTGCAAATTTCGTAGCCAGAGAGATTTCAGGGTCGTCGATTACAAATCCGCTGTCAAAATTACGAAATTCAAAATGGCGGACCCAATATGGCGTCGTATTGTGCGAGAAATTTGAATTTTTAAAGAAATCATTTGCAAATTTCGTAGCCAGAGAGATTTCAGAGTCGCCGATTACAAATCCGCTGTCAGAATTACGAAATTCAAAATGGCGGACCCAATATGGCGTCCAATTATGCGAAAAATTTGAAGTTTTATAGAAATCATTTGCAATTTTGTACTTGAGGGATTTTTTCGGAGTCGCTAATTACAAATCAGCTGTCAGAATTACAAAATTTAAAATGGCGTCGTATTATGCGAGAAATTTGAATTTTTTAAGAAATCATTTGCAACTTTCGTAGCCAGAGAGATTTCAGAGTCGCCGATTACAAATCCGCTCTCAGAACTACGAAATTCAAAATGGCGGACCCAATATGGCGTCGTATTGTGCCAGAAATTTGAATTTTTAAAGAAATCATTTGTAAATTTCGTAGCCAGAGAGATTTCAGAGTCACTGATTACAAACCCGCTGTCAGCATCACAAAATTCAAAATGGCGTCGTATTATGCGAAAAATTTGGATTTTTAAACAAAATGATTTGCAATTTTGTGGTAGGGAATTTTTAGCGCCGCTGATTACGAATCCGATCTCAGATTTACGAAATTCAAAATGGCGTCGTATTAAGCGAGATATTAAATTTTGTAAGAAATCATTTGCAATTTTATACTAGGTTTTCGAAGTCGCTGATTTATGTATCCGATGTCAGAATTACGAAATTCAAAATGGCGGGCACAATATGGCGGCGTATTATGCGAAACCGTTGAATTTTTAAAGAAATGATTCGCAATTTCTTATTAGAGATTTTCGGGGTCGCTGATTAAGGATGTGAGATTTACGAAATTCAAAATGGCGTGCAACTTTGTACTATAGAACAGGGAGTTTTCCAGGACCGAGCTGCAAAAATCAAAATGGCGGATGTGCTCTTAAGTTACGCCACTGATTAATGCCATATAAGCGTGTTAGTCATCATCCTAAAATGTGACACTTGCGTTTCCAATTTTAAGTTTTTTGCAGAGCCTTTTCATTCTTTCTAGTGTACGTAACTCGAGAGCAACGCCGTAAAAGTAAAATGTGGAATAGTGAAATTGTGAATTAACTGTCATAATGAGTGGATTTATTAAAGATGAGCCAAAACAAGTCTAAGAACCCTTGTTGCAAATGTTTCATAGAAAACAATCCGTTCCAATAAAAATTCTATTGTGTCTTATTGGTTTATATTGGCAGAATTGGAAACGGTCTGGAGAACGATCTTAGTTTTGTTGGCTACTATAGCGTAAATCCAATAGCATTGGCCGTTATTGTAAATGGGTGATTCGAATTGTAAAAAAAAACTATTGTGGTTACACAATAGAAACGTTTGAATTTCTATTGGGACTTTCCAACAAGATGCACAATCGTTTTTGTATCTGTTGGCTTCTAACGTGTTTTTCCAATATTATTGTATTTGAGAGGGAATAAACAAGTTTTCCATTGTGAAAATTAATTGTTGGGAATTCCCAATGTAAATGTTACGATTTATATTGTGAATTTTCAATAGAAACAAGCACCGTTTTGGTATTAGTTGTCTCCTAATGGTGTGTTATTGCTTCTATTACCTTACCTGTTGGATTTGAGTGGTTATGATTTGATGGAGAAATAGCAGCGTTTTTTGTAGTTTTCAATTGGGGAATTTGTGTAGGTATCTACCGCGCATTCGCATTTCGCATACGCAAGACGAGACGTAACCATAACCACGAATTCTTTGCGTGTATTTTTATTTCCAAGTTTCTATTTTAACGATTTCGGTTTACGAAGACAAATACCTAAACTGTAGGTAAGTGATATAATTTTTGTGTTATTTTTAATTACAATGGTCGTATTTGTTGTGTTGATTATGTACAACCTATACCTACAACTTTATAGGTTAGGTATGGCATTTCTTATTATTCCTATTATTTATTTATGAAACAATAATGTATATAATGCCAGTAGGTCATTTTATGTGGCAAAAGATTTTCGAGTAAATACAAGTCTAGTATTTTCTAGGGGGAATGTGACAAACAATTAATAAAACAATATCGATATTGTATCTTGAGCATTCCTCCGATTCCTGCTTAAGAGTTATACGACCCCATTAATGAAACATAATTGTACAGAATAGGGCTCATAGTACTATTTTTTCTGTTTCTGTTTTTCAGTGACGCTTCGAGTTTAAACAATATTAGAAGATGTATGCATATGTCATCTTCGAAGAAGACAATGTGCCACTTGTCGTGTCTATTATTAATTAATGACATAAAATTTAAAAATTCAACTTACGAAAACTATAATTCGGCAAAAACGTACAAAGTAAAATATACCGATGGTCATTTTTATAAGGCTTTTATCATCGCAGTAGCGGGTAAGTTCCATAAAAGCTTGATTGGTTTTGTTGTTAGTATGAAGGTATTTGTTTAGAAACAATGGAAGAGGTCAAAATGAAAGCCGAGGAGAAGCGTATTCGTTTGCCTGCTGCCAAACTGAGGGAGTTAAATGTTGCAAACGATGAGATTAGTTCATCGGACAATGAAAATATTCCTCTTAATACAGTGCGAGCAATAGTATTATTACACAATATAGAAAATAAATATTGAACATTACAAGAAAGCATCAAACAGTCTCTGGAAATATGAACGTAGTCTCAAATTACTAATGTTGTTACACCATGCTTTACTACATTCACATTGCCAAAGAGTCGTTTATGTTTTTTTTAAATTATATAATATACGATATAATACAATGCGATCAAATATGAGTTGCAGTCGCGTCGCCTTTGGAATTTTTGTTTACATGGGAAATCATACTTAACTTGAACTACCAAAGGCGACTTCAATGTCATTCCTTTTTTGATCACCTGTTACTTTATTCAGATGGAACGAAATTCCACAAAAAAACAAAAGAAGAGTCAGGAGAGAGCATACCAATTAGAAAATTATCACAAAATAATGAAGTCTGTGTCAAATCAAGAAATGCCCATGGATCTGCCAAATACTATGGAAAGTAAAAATTGGAAAGAAAAATATGAAGAATTAAAAAAAGAAAACAAAGCATTAACGGAAGAAGTCCAAAAGTTAAAGGAGCTAAATATTAACTTACAAGAAGAGGTGATAGCAAAATTTAAAAGTATAGGTAAGAATGTGAAACATCTTCACCAAGATAAAGTAATCTGTCATTATATAGACTTCATGCAAAATCCGATTCCACCAATGGTAACTATGGACAGCCAAGAAACTTCCAAACCGATCCCCGATGATGTTCCAGTGGCCGGACTATATGATGGCCAAGTAAAAGTGTTTCTCATATACTTATGACAATTTTATAAAAACTAATTGTTAAAGATTCACATTGGACGAGGAGAATGGTTACCTGTAGCCATTTTTAATATGTGTATGGCAAAAAAAAAAGATTCTATCTTTATCAAAGAGATTGCGTGTTCCTTATTTTCGCCAGACGTATTATCT